TTTTTTTAAAGAGAAAAAAAAGCAAAAAAAAAAAATCTGTCCCCTCATGGAGCTTGTATTTTCATGATTTAAGTAACTCAGGAAGCATTAGAAGAGGAATCAAATTACTGATAGTCAAAAACCTGACAAGTTTTTTTCCTCTTTTGGAGTGGATACAAAATACATATTTCTTTAATATAAAACCATTTTTGAAATATTGTCACTTTCTTATTTTGAGCTCCATCAAAAGAAAACAGAATAAGGGCCTCCATTCTCCTGAATAAATAGTGTTGCAATGTTTTGCTCCATGTGGTAAGAATTATCTGAACATGGAGAGTAACTAAAACAAAGCAAAAATTTGGGGGAAGAGTATTTATATGAAACAACTGCATCAAGATACTCTTAGTGGAGCCAAGACACAAAGTTTAAACCACCATAAAGAAATAATGTGTCCAGGCTCTTAAAAAAACAAACAGAGAAGTGCCGAGCAGGGCTAGAATATCATGAGGATGAAATGCCAGTGCATTTCGGTATGTGATACCCCAAAGCAGAGCTGTTTAAACTAATCAAATTAATTCATTAGGAAGCAAATTCAGCCAACCAAATGAATGTTTAGGTATGTCATTTTGACTCATTAGCTGTGTAATGTAAATATTTTTGTCTCCTCCTGTCTTATATTTACTCAAATCGCTTAATACACAATCACTCTTTAAGTCCCACTGTTCCAGCATCACTTCCAAAGTCTTATGTCCTCTGCATCCTGCCTCACGGTTAAAATACATCTCCAATTTCATCATATATTTCATAACCACATGTTTAGGAACATCTACATGTTGTGGGATAGCTGTATTTGCCTAGAAGACATAACATCTCTCTAATATCTGTTTAATCCATTTTTGCAAGAGTGAAAACTCATTTACCGAGTCTACATTTGAAAACAGAATACAATTTTTAGGAGCACAGTAGAAATGGAAAACTTTTATCTGATGTGCATGTTTCCTTTAGCCAGGTTTAGAAGCTTCTGAATACCCTGAAAAATACGATAAAATAATCTCTTTATTCCCCTACAATCATAGTCTACTCAGCAAATTGAAGTGGTTGCTTTAAAGCAAATGCAAATTTTAATTCACTATGTCAGTGCTTTCAAGTACAGGTACACTTGGCTTTCCAGGATTTAGAAGATTACATTGGAAGCATTTTCAAATGGCATGTACTTCAAATGTATGGTACTGAATTAAAGAAACCCAGCTTGTGATGATAGTGATGAAAATGACTAATTATTGTCATTTATGATTCTTTCTTACTCTGTCCATCTTCCTTCTCCTCATCTTTTATCTCTCTCTTTCTCTCCCTTCCTTTCTTCTAACCTTGTTTAATTTCTACAGGCAGATTATACCTATAAGTAACAAAGTATGCGTTCAATTTTTTAGAAAAAGAAGAGCATGGACTTTGGAGCAGGGGACTACCTGGAGCTGAATCTCAGCCCTGCCACTTGCCAGCTGTGCATCCTTAAGGTAGTTAATTAACCTCTCTGTGCCTCATTTTTTATCCCTTATAAAATGTGGGTAAAATTAATAGTTATCTCATAGGATCATTAGGATTAAATGAGTTCATACTTATAAAGTCCTTAAAGTCTGGCACTAGAAAGTGATATTTAAGTCCATAATAAATAAAATAAATAAACAAGTCTAAAGGCAAAACTGTTTTTCACTTAGAAATAATTTTTTTCTAGAACAAAACAATGGAAATCTAGGCCACCTAGTTTTGTTTACCTCCCACACCACGCCAACCTTGCACAACAAAAATATGTTCTAGTTCAAGAAATGGAAATTGATCCCTTCTTAACCATTTAATTCACATTGGTAAGTAAAAATTCCAGAAGTTGTTGTTTCCATTCTGTTGGTCATTAATGTAAGGCAGGATTCCTCATGAAATTAGATGACGTTGGAGAAGTCGAGTGGAAAGGGAGAAAAGTTCAGCAGAAGTGACTGAAAGTGAAATATAGGAAAGCAGAGGAAAACGTTTAAAAACCCTATAATTAAAAGCATGCAAAGAGTCCTGCTGACCTTGGCTGACTCCAAAAACACGGTTACAAGAGAGGTGGTCTCCTTTTAACTGTAAATACAGAGGTGAAGCTCTCCAGGGCAAATAACATCAAAGGCAAAGGGAAAGAAATGGTGCGACGGGGCCCCACCCAACCTCCCCGGATGGGCTGGGTTTGACATCATTTTCCAGCAGACTAACCAAACCAGCAGCTTTCACCCTCAGTGCAAATTTTCACCAGCTCTGGCAGGTGAGCCTGCAAGTGGAGTTACAGATGCTTACTCTTGGAAATCAAGGAGCACACTGAAGTTAGAGACAGAGCTTTCATTCCCTTGTCTCTTGAAGTGGCTGCTTGGGACCCCTGAGTCTGACTTGGATGAATAAAGCCCCACTGAGGCGGGCAGACGCCCCCTGAGGCTTTGATATCACTCACAAAGCACTCGCTTTCTCTGAGCTGCATCATGTTGCCCTTTGACCTAATGGAAAGATCTAGTTCCTGAATGTTTTCTGAGATGGCTATTCATTTGTAGGAAAATACAAATCTATGGGCCTATGAAATCATTCTGAACTAGTCATTCATTCTGGAAATTTACAATGTGAATTTTGGGGGTTATCTTTGGTTGCTCCTGAATTCCCAATTTACTAAAATATTATTCAATCTCTATGCGGAAAAAAAGAGTAAAATGTGTAGCAATAAAGAATCCCAAGAAGTATTTTTTAATTTACATTTAGCAAGAAAGGGATAGCAATTTTCTTTGAGATCAGGAGAAATGTAATTTACCTGTGTGATAGAGAAAGGGGTTCCATAGGGCTCTGCTGACAATACTGGGTTTGTCATTCTTGGAATAAATACCCTTACCTGTAATCAACCACCAGAGCACAAAATTTTTTAATTAATTTAAATTATGAAAATTTTCTGGCATAAAAAGATGAATGATATAACATACTTCTAAGTAAAAATGGTCAACTCAACACGTGATTTGCCTGGCCTCCCTGACCTGAAATGCATTACTATGATTTTTTGAAGCCCTAAACCCACAAAGAAAAAGAGAATGTAAAGGGAGAAAAGAGCAGCAGATTTAGGGAAACCATAAAGCATATGGATCAATGGTAACCAACTTAGCAAATCTGAGGAAACTAAATCCTTACCTGGCAATAGAGAAAGTCTAGGGGAAAGGGGATTTAAATCCCAGAATCTCCAAATGACCAAGCACTGTGGATTCCTTATACCCTTGCAAGTAAAGGCGGTGGGGTGGGAAGGACAGTGAAAATAGGAAGATTTTTTGGAAACTTAGGAAGCAGGTAACCAAATCCCCTCTATTCCATTCATCTGGGCCAATGACCCTCATCTGTTGCAGCGCTAAACTTAGTTTATTCTCCAGCAAGGATAACAGAGCAACTTTAATTGGGGAAGGAATGGAGGGGACCCAGACAGCACTGAGAGCAAGAGTCCCGGAAGGGTAGAAGGGAACTAAGAGAAGTACAGAATGTCAGATTACAGTTCTTTCTCCACTAGCTTCTAGAACCCTGAGAGCTGACTTAAACTCAACAGACGGACAGAAGATCATTCACTGGAGAATTTAGTCAGCCTAAAGATGTTGACGTTGGGCACTTCCCAATAAAATTGCCAAGTCAGATCACCCAACAGCTTACATGTCTCACTAGACCCTAGAACTTCCCGTTCAATTTCCCAAGTTTCAGTATGAGTGACTGCGAAAGATCACAAGGTATTAGAGGAAATCCTCTACTGTTCTGAATGAAAGTGAGAGAGGGGGAAAGAAAAAGAAAACAAATCATCAAAAAATGCAACTTGAGGAAATGGAAACTATTCTGAGGAAACAAATACAAAAAAAATCTATCACTAACATTCTCAGAGAGCTATGAAGTAATACAGCATCTGTGAAATACTGGCAGGATGCTATAAGAAAGATACAGATAATAAAAGGAATCTGAGAGATTAAAAATAAAATATCATAAGTGAAAAAGATGGCTTAGAAAAAAATGTTGGAAAAAAACACACAAGACAGCAAAGAAAAAAAAAAGAAAAAGAGATGAAAATAAGATGCAAAATAGCTATTTTAATAACACCAAACAGTAAAGAAGCTTCTATTCAAATAGCAGAAGTTCCAGAAAAAGAAAGCAGAGTAACTTGACAAGGGAAGTTGGGGGTGACAATCAAATAATTCAAGAAAATCTCCCAGAACTGTAGAAATGTATTCACTGGGCCCAGGATGAAAATAAAATTATATCAAAGATCATCATCATGAAATCACTAAAACATGGGATGAGAAAATCTGAAAATTTCCAGAGAAGGGAAAAATTGTATATAAACAAGTGAGAATTGGGTTGGCTCAAACTTCCTAATTGCTCACTGGCAGCCTGAAGTCATTAGAGCAAAGCCATTGAATTTCTTAAGGAAAGTTATTTCCAACCAAAAAAATTTAGACCCAGCCAAATGACCAATTAAGGATGAGGCGACCAATAAGAATTTCCAGACTTGCAAAATCTCAAAAACTTATCACCTATGCATCCTTTCTCAAAAGTATTCTGGAAGGAATAAAGCAAGAAAAAGGATAATTGTGGAGCCATGAATCAGTGTCTAAAACATGGGAGAGACAAAGGGAGAGCCCCCACCCCAAGAGGTGGATGGAGACCCACAGGTGATGACTCTGGCTTGGAAATGAATCAGACCACACTGGCACAGAGCAGAAGGCTCCAGGAGAACTTCTGGAACTCTGAAATTGACAGTGTACCTGATGTGTTTGAAG